AACACCTGGTTTTAGTTGGATTTGTCAGCTGCAACACCTGATTAAATAAAACGTTCCTCTTTGACAATACTTGTCGCCTCTGTCACTGGCTTTCTGTGCAGTGGGCAGCTAGACCTAGACCGAACCTCTGAGGTTTTGGTGACAGTATCAGTACAAAAATAGACAAAGCCCAGAAAACGAGCCATTCAGTGTAGATCCTTAGTTTATGACTGAGGTGGAACTAGAAGAGAGTGTAGAAAGAATGGTCATAGGATGGCGATATATCTTTATGGGTCAGAAAGACAAACTCAACACACAGCTGCTTCACAATACACAGGGAAGGCACAATACACAATAACAGGGTCCATAGGTCTAAATAGGAAAGAAAAAAATAAAATGTATAAATGATAAAAAATAGTAAATATCTTTACGACATCAAGATAGAGAAAAGCTTCTTTAAAAGAACACAACGCTGGGTGCAGTGGCTCGTGCTTGTAATCCCAGCACTTTGGGAGGCCAAGGTGGGCAGATCACTTGAGGTCGGGAGTTCCAGACCAGCCTGGCCAACATGATGAAACCCCACCTCTACTAAAAATCCAAAAATTTAGCCGGGCATGGTGGCATGCACCTGTAATCCCAGCTACTAAGGAGGCTGAGGCACGAGAATTGTTTGAACGTGGGAGGCAGAGGTTGCAGTGAGCCACAAAAAGGGAACTCCGTCTCAAAAAAAAAAAAAAAAAAAAAAAAAACAACGCAAGACTGGGCACAGTGGCTCACGCCTGTAATCTCAGAATTTTGGGGAGCCGAGGTGGATGGATCACCTTAGGTCAGGAGTTCAAGACCACCCTGGCCAACATGGCAAAACTGTCTCTACTAAAAATACAAAAATTAACCAGGCATGGTAGGACACGCCTGTAATCCTAGCTAATCAGGAGGCTGAGGCAGGAGAATCACTTGAATCCAGGTGGTGGAGGTTGCAGTGATCCAAGATCTCGCCACTACACTCCAGCCTGGGCAACAGAGCAAGACTCTATCTCAAACTAATAATGATAATAATAATAATAATAAAAATAATAAACTAACTCTATCTCAAATAACAATAAAATAATAAAAATAATAAAAGAACACAACACCAACTAATTCATAAGGGTGCTATGTTAAAATCTCCTGGCTGGGCGCAATGGCTCACGCCTGTAATTCAAACACTTTGGGAAGTTGAGGCAGGTGAATCACGAGGTCAGGAGATTGAGACCATCCTGGCCAACATGGTGAAACCCCATCTCTACTAAAATACAAAAAACTAGCAGGGTGTGGTGGCAGCCTCCAGATACTCGGGAGGCTGAGACAGGAGACTCGCTTGAACCCGGGAGACTGAGGTTGCAGTGAGCCGAGATCATGCCACTGTACTCCAGCCTGGTGGCAGAGCAAGACTCCATCTCAAAAAATAAAATAAAATAAAAAATAAAAAACAAAATCTTCTATCCCAACCATTCCTCCCAAAAAGATACCATTAAGGAAGTAAAACGCCAGACACTGAAGGAGAGAGGAGATTTGTAGCACAACGTGGCCAAGTACCTTTTCCAAAGATGGCCTCAGCAGTATCTGCTATCCCACATGTCATTCTGCATGTGACCTTGCCTCTCTCTAATAATTGCTGGGGCGCATGTCCCTGGGGAGGCTGTGACTTCTTTGAGACCATGTAGTTTCCACCTAGTTCTCTCAGATGGTCACTCTGGGGAAGCCACCTGCTACATAAGAATTTCAATTAGTGTGGGATTGTCGTGCTGTAAAGACAGTGAATGGATATGCTGGTGGGCAGCCCCAGCTGAGCTTCCAGACAACGGCCAGCACCAACCAGCAGGCATCCAACCCAGCCAAGTAAGCCCATCTCAAATTCCTGACTCTCAAAAGCACGAGCCAAACGACATAGCTGCTGCTTTTCCCCACAATATCTTGGAGTACTTTGTTACACAGCAATTGCAAAGGAACTGACAAAGGACTCTTATCCAGAATATATAAAGATCTCCTACAAATCCGTAAGAAAAAGACGGATGGGGAGTGGTAAAGCGCAAACACTGGAAATCCAAATGGCCAATTATAAAAATGTGCCCAACCTCAATGGTAAAGAAAATCTAATCAGCCAGGCACAGTGGCTCACCTCTGCTAATCCCAGCACTTTGGGAGGCTGAGGCAGGTGGGTACCTGAGGTCAAGAGTTCAAGATCGCCCTGGCCAGCATGGTGAAACCCCATCTCTACTAAAAACAGAAAAATTAGCCAGGCGTGGTGGTGCATGCCTGTAATCCCAGCTACTCCAGAGGCTGAGGCAGAATTGCTTGAACCAGAGAGGTGGAGGTTGCAGTGAGCCAGGATTGTGCCACTGTTCTCCAGCCTGGGCAACAGGGCCAGGCTCTGTCTCAAAAAAGAGGAAAGAAAGAAAGAAAGAGAGAAAGAGAGAAGGAAAGAAGGAAGGAAGAAAGGAAGGAAGGAAAAACGCACAATGAGATGCCAATGCAAACCAACTGGAAGGGCCACATTTTAGAAACCAAAAGTGACAATATTGTGTGGGTAAAGATGTGGAGCATTGGTAACTGCTTACACTGCTATGAGCATGCAAAATGGTACAAAGAACTTGAACAAATACTTGGCACTGCCTACCAAAGTTGAAGATCGCTTATAGACACCAGGAAACATATACAAGAGTGTGGTGGCAAAAGCTGGAAACTGGTAACCACTCAAACCTCCATTAATAGTACATGGACAAATAAACTGTGGTGTATTATACAGTGACGAACTATGAAGCTATGAAAATGAGCAATGTAGCCGGGCGCGGTGGCTCAAGCCTGTAATCCCAGCACTTTGGGAGGCTGAGGCGGGTGGATCACGAGGTCGAGAGATCGAGACCATCCTGGTCAACACGGTGAAACCCCGTCTCTACTAAAAATACAAAACATTAGCTGGGCATGGTGGCACGTGCCTGTAATCCCAGCTACTCAGGAGGCTGAGGCAGGAGAATTGCCTGAACCCAGGAGGCGGAGGTTGCGGTGAGCCGAGATCGCGCCATTGCACTCCAGCCTGGGTAACAAGAGCGAAACTCCGTCTCAAAAAAAAAAAAAAAAAAAAAATTTTAATATATCCTGGCTGGATGCGGTGGTGTACGCCTGTCATGCCAGTACTCTGGGAGGCCAAGGCAGGTGGATTGCTGGAGCCCAGGAGTTCGAGACTAGCTTGGGCAACACGGCGAAAATCCATCTCTACAAAAAACTCACTGGGCATGGTGGCCCCCTCCTTTAGTCCTAGCTATTTTCGAGGCTGAGGTGGGAGGATCCTTTGAGCCCAGGGCATCAAGACTGCAGTGAGTAGAGATCATGCCACTGCACTCCAGGCTGGGTGACAAAGTGAGGCCCTATCTCAAAAAAGAAAAAAAGCATATTCTGGGCCAGGCACGGTGGCTCATTCCTGTAATCCCAGCACTTTGGGAGGCTGATGTGGGTGCATCACCTGAGGTCAGGACTTCGAGACCAGCCTGGCCAACATGGTGAACCCCTGGTCTCTACTAAAGATACAAAAATTAGCTGGGCGTGGTGGCAGGCACCTGTAATCCCAGCTACTTGGGAGGCTGAGGCAGGACAATCGTTTGTGATGATAAGATAAGGGGAGGTGGGGATGTCACCATGTCCCTTGGCCTGGCGAATGGAAACACAGGTGTTTGTTGCTTTACCATTCACATGTATAGTATGCTGATATATTATGTATTTTCCTTAGGTGTGTTACGTCTCACAATAAATCTTTCAAAGCTAAAGAAAGAAGACAATAAATATATGATTGATAAATACCTAACTTCATGTATCATTTGATTACTCCAACCTTATTTATTAGATTAGATTTCTCCAACCTTATTTATTAAATTATCTGAACTATTCTCACTGATTTGTGATTCCAACTTAATAATGTAGCCAATTCTTACTTGGATTTGAGAGTGCTGGTAGTGGTTATCAAAAGTCTACTCGGTTTTGGCGAGGATGAATGTGCTTTGGGGGGCAGAGGTAAGGGGGATAGAAAATGTGAATGAAACAGAAGGCAGGGAGGGAGATGAGACAGTCGTCGTCATGGGATTTATTATTAAACAGGAAAATTCTAGAGACAAACTGAGAAGAGAACGGAAGTCTGTCAGAGGGTTGCCAAGTCAGAAAGCAAAAGCAAATTGTCGCTTTACTAAAAAGCTGGGGCGGAGCGAGGCGGGGGGCCGCCGTCCTGACGGAGCTCAGGACAAAACATTTGAGGGGGTTCCTAAGGCGGAGGCCAGGCCTGCAGGGTGGGGGTCGGTTGTCCCGGGTGTTCCGCTCTAGGGCGCAGCTTCCATCCATACTGTGCAGGTAGCTAAAGACTGCTGAATGGCTTGTGTTTGTTTGTTTTTGCTTTGGTTTTTGTTTTTTTTTTTGAGCTGGAGTCTCACTCTGCCTCCCAGGCTGGAGTGCAGTGGCAACATCTCGGCTCACTGCAACCTCCGCCTCCCGGGTTCAAGCGATTCTCCTGCCTGGGTCTCCCGAGCAGCTGGGATGACAGGCACGCGCCACCAAGCTCGGCTTTTTTTTTTTTTTTTTTTTTTTTTTTTGCTTATTTGTTTTTGAGACTGGGTCTCCGTATGTTGCCCAGGCTGGTGCCAGTGTTTTCAAAGATTTAACATACCGCTATTTTTACATGTATTGCTTTTTGCTTACTCTAAACTAGTTTTTACCGATGGAAAGGACGGAAAAGAGCGCGTGCCGCACTTTGTCCCCACCCTTGCCCACCAGGCTCCATTCCCTCTGCAGCGCACACCTAGGCCGCCTGCGATCCCCGCGTCCCCGCGCCCGGAGCGGCCTGGAGGGGCCCGGACGCCGCGGTGTCGTGCGCACACTGCTCGGGTGGGCCGGACGCCCCGCCGAGGGCTGGGAGGGACTGAGGGGCGCGGGGGGCGGCCTGAATCCCTGTCCCGCCTCCCCGGACCCCGCCCCGCCCCGCCCCGTCCCGGGCCCGCCCGCGCCCGCGCCCGCGCGGACACTCTCAGCCCCAACCGCGGCCGCTCAGGTCGGACCTGCGCGCAGCGGCCGGAGATGCAGCGGGGCGCCGCGCAGTGCCTGCGACTGTGGCTCTGCCTCGGACTCCTGGACGGTAAGCGCGGCGAGCTGGCCGCCCCCTCCCCCCGAGAGCGGGGCTGGCCGCAGAGCGGATACCGCGCGCCTGGGGCGGGCGCTGCGACCGCACCGACCGGGGGACGGGCAGGGGACAAGGTGGCCCGGGAGCGCGGACGCCGGAGGGAGCACGACGCTCGGGGCCCAGGACCTCGGGATGAGGAAAAGGCGGGCGGGGACTGCAGCCGGGTCAGGCCAGGGCGGCCGGGCCGCGCCTCGGCGCAGGGATAGCCTTCCCAGCCCCCGAATCCGCTTCTCTGTGGGTGTCTCGGCGTCCTCGGAGCCGGGCCCCGTCGGGCTGCGCCCTGGGCCTGGATCTTCCGTGCCCTTACTCGCTTCCCCGCGGAGTCCCCGCGGCGCGCCGCTTGGTCCCGACCCACGCGCACCGGAGATCCCGGCCACCCCGGCCACCCCGGCCCGGCCCCAGACTTGGGTGCGCACTTCCCGACGCCCGGCGTCCGCGCTCGCGGTCGGTCCCCCAGAGGGCGCTCAAGATGGGCCTCCACCTTCCCTGGGCCAGGGACTTCGGGGGCAGGGGCCGGGGACTGCCGCGCACCCGAGGCAGACGGGTGCAGGTGCACGCCGCAACTGAAAGCGAATCTTTTGGAGGCGAGTCGAGGGCTATCAGCGCCGCAGAAGGGGCGGAAGGCCGGGGCTCTCCGGATTTGAGGGGACGGGGGCCTTGAAGGCCAGCTGGGGAGCAGAGGCCCCCACGGGAGGGTCCCCTGCACAGGCGAGGCAGGGTTCGGGTTGTGTTGTGTTCCAGCCGCTCCGGCTGTCGGGGAGAGACCCAGACCTAAGGCAAAGGCGGAAGGGCTGGAGAGAGGGACTGGGGGAGAGGAGCTGGACAGAGATGTCAGGAAGGAAGCCGAGAGGATGAGCTGGTGTCCCTGCAAATCTAAAGGTGGAAGGGCGGGGTCAGGGCTCCCCAGAGTCTGAGCGCAGAGTCCTGGTAGCCCTGAGGCCAGTGATGGGGACCTCAACATTTCTGCACCCCATAGGAATTCAACAGTGGCTTTACATGCTTATAGTTCTCAGACCCATTTGACACATGGAGAAGCTTAGACCAAGGACATGTGTCACTCCCCCAAGGTCCCCAGGAGGCCCAAAGTAAGCCTGGCAAAGCCTGCCTTCCGTCTACCACCTGTACGTTCACTGGCTGAAGAGCAGAGGACAGGGGAGGGGGCAGGTCTGGCTCAACCAGGGGAGGAGGGAGGAGAACATGGGTCTCTGAGTCTGACAGGTCTGATCAGGGCACTGCCCTTGGCCTTCCTGTACCCAGCCCAGGACCAGGCGCTCACAAGGACTCAGTATGTGTTTGTTGAGTGGCCGCCGGGGCTGTAGAATGAGAGATACTTAACCTGGAGGAAACATGGGACAGGCCCCTGGGCGCAGTGTCTGAGGCTGGAGAGGAAGCAGACGACAGACCCAGGAGGGGACTCTGGGGGAGGGGGCCAGAGGGCCAGGGGGCTTCCAGGGATCCAGGGAGCATTCTGCAGGTATAAGGAGAACCAGGTCAGGCCAGTGTCCTGGAGCTCCCACACGGTTTCGGGGTGAAGGGAGATGAGGCCATTCCCTCCAGTAAATGCAATGACTCTTTCCCACCCAGTTACGAAGAGGTGGAGAGAGGATGTTAGCTGGGGGGGCCCATGGAGTGGGGTGTCCAGGGTTGGACCTGGGTTTGGCTGGTGGGGGGATGGCAGTGGAGACAGAGGTCATCCCTCCCTGAGCCGTGCACTTTGCCCTACCTCCTGCTAGACTGAAGACCCCGGGACCTCCCAGCCTGATGGGGAATTTCACCGCGAGAGCACAATCCCTGAGCTGCGGTCGGGCGTCAGGGCAGCCGGGGGTAGGAGCAGGCCTCAAGCCTGAGCACCCTGAAGCTGACCCCTTAAAAGTGTGCTGTTGGTCATAGAACCAGACTCTTGTCCTGCGTCTTCCCCTAAAATCCTGTCTGTGTGACCTGGGTCCCCTCCTTTCTGCCCCCCTGCACCTCAGTTTCCCCAGGCATAGCCATGGCACGAGCTGGCTTGTGTGTGCTTGGGCTGGACTCCAAGACCCACTTTCCTGCTCCAGTTCCCCAGCTTTCCCCGGGTGGAGAGGGTAGGTCGCCGATGTCTCTTGGGGCTTAGTCTAGAGAGAGCCACCAGCTCAGGGACGTGCAGGAGCAGGAACTGCTGGGAATGTGGAGTGGCCTGGTCTCAGGACCTTTGCCCTTTCTATGGGCTGAGTCACATACCCAGATATGGACAGGTGTGTGGCCCAGGGATGCAAGTCAGTGCAGGCGGGATGTGGGGGGGCCAGACCCACCTTACTTGGGCCTGGGGACCTTCTTCTTCAGCTCAGGGCTCTGGGGATTCGAACGCAGGTGCTGTTTCCTCATCCACCAGGTCTGCGGTACGGAGCCAGTGTGGCTAAAGGGGTCCTGTGCCCTCCCAGAGCATAGGACCCACGTGTCTGGGCCCAGACAGGGTATGAGGTGTGACATGTGGTCTGTCTGGTGAATTCTCCGCTGTGACCCCCAGCAGTGGCACTCCTACCTAGGGAAAGAGCCTGCGGGTCTATGCCAGACTGTAGGATAGTGCCTGCTCGTGGCCCAGGGAGGATTTGGACTCGGCCCCATGCCACAGGGGTTTCCTGCGCCTTGCGGGGACACAGACATGGCATCAGATGTCTATCGCCCAGGGATGAAAGTGCTCAGGGGCCCTGGTGAGGCACAGCTGGTGGCTGTAAGCTGCACAGGAAGGCAGTGTTGCTTCCAGCTAAAAGTTTCTTGGAGAGGTCTGCAGAACTCCGGGACAGGGAATTCCAAGCAGGGCGAAGAACCCTGCAGAGGCCGCGAGGCAGGAAAGTCCAGATGGTGATTGTGGACGAATGAGTGGTCCCGTGAGGGTAGCGTCTGGGAGGAGTGGATGGGAGGTGGCGGGAGACGAGGCTGGAGACGGGGCAGCGCCAGCAGCAAGGAGGCTGGTGTCCAGGGAGACAGGAGCAGGTGAGCTGCAAGGAGGGAAACCCAAGGCATGAATTGGGGGTGGAGGCAGGTTGAAGCTGGGGATGGTGCGAATGGGGGAAGTCCCAGGTCTCTGGCTTCAAGAATAATTTTTCAGAGGGAGACCCTGGGAGAGGAGCAGGGACTCGGGGTGGAAGTGTTGAATGGGATTTCCTGGGAGACCCCAGCTGATACAACCAGCCGGATACGGAAGGAGGAAAGGGGAGCACTGGAGTGTGATGGGGCAGAGGGCAATTGGGGAACCCAGGGAAATTAAGTGAAATCAGCTGTGAAAGGGAGGTTCTTCTCTGTGTCTGGCTTACATCCTCCTGCTGTAGTTTGGGTATTTTCCTCCACAGGGCAGTTTTCTGTCCACCGAGCCTAGCCTGTGCCCCACGTCCCTCTGAGATGCCCCTCCGAGTTGGGGGTGGACAGGGAGAGGGGTCTGGAAAGCCTCTCACACCCCCTGGACTCAGAGCAAGATTCAGTCCATGTGTCCAGCTGGAGCCAGGGATTCCTTTTCAGACACTGGCTTCCTCTGGAATCTGGGTTTTCCGGTTACACTGTGGAGACAAGTCTGGGAGCAGGAAGGTGCGGGCATTCACTGCCGGAGGAGGTGCAGGGCGCCAGCCATGGCCGGGCTGGACGGGGCACACAGCAGGCACACCCCCAGGCCTGCCTGAGGCCCGCTCCACCCTCGCCCTCGGCCAGGCTGGGCAGATCCAGGTGGCGAGGATGGGAGCCCCGCCACGTGGCCGGCCGGGTCAGCAGGGGTTCATGGGAAAGGACTTGCCGGCCACAGAAGAGGACATCCTGCCTGCGTTTCCCTCTTCCTGCAGCAGGAGCTGGTGGCCCCAATTTAGCAGCACTGGGGGGCCACCTCTGCGCCAGCTGGGCTGTCTGATAACACGGCTCGTCCTGCCGGCCAGCAAGCAGAGCCCTGACCCCACGGAAGCCAGGAAGACTGCCTGGCACAGCTGGCTGCCCTACGGCGGCCCTGTGCTAGGAGCTTAGCATCTGCTCAGGCCCCTTCCCCCTGGTCCCCACCCCCTCGGGGTACTCAGGCAGCCCATGCTCCCAGCAGGTCCAGCCCCTCTCAACCTCATCACCACTCCCTGCTTCCAGCAGCTTCCAGAAATTGGTCTCCATTCTGCGCCAAAGGTACTGCTATAAAATACAGATCTGAGCCTTCAGCACCCCCCACCCACCCACCCACAAGATAAGCACGAGCTTCTTGGGCTAGTGGTACAGGCCCTTCGTGCTGGAGGGCAAAATTCAGACTTTCAGGTGGATTTAGGGGAAGCCCTTATCATCACCCACTCAACACACTAGCTTCAAAGCTACCCTAAATTCTACTGAATAGAGGTTGATCTGTGTTAAGTAGCAAGCGTGCACTGGCACGTGCATGCACATGCAGACGTGGAGTGTCCGGCAGCGAGCCACGCCTCAGTGTAAAATGGTTTCTTAAATTGCTTCACAGCAGGGCATGTACAGGTTTTAACTTTATGACACAGACCTTGCTGTGCTTGTTTTGGAGATTAGGAAATTAAGGCCAGAAAGGTGAAACGGCTCTCTGGATGATAGACGGCTCACTTCAGGGAGGTAATAGGTGTCTGGTATCTGGTTTCAAGCAGCATGGAGGCCAAGTGGGACAGCACAGGCACACAGGCCATTGTCCTCACTCCCCAGGGAATGCCTGGGCACCCTGGCGCCGTTTTTACTTTGCTGTCCCAGAGACCTTTCCAAAGCAGCATGTCCCAGACAGCTCCCCCAGGGTCCACTGCTCGCCCGGCGCTTCCCTCCGTGCACAGCCTCGTCACCCTCCTGGTACCCTGTGCCTCTCTTCCCCTCACCACCACACCTGCCCACACATTCTTTTTTTGTTGTTTTTTGTTTGTTTGTTTTGTTTTGTTTTTGAGGTAAGAGTCTTACTCTGTCACCAGGCTGGAATGCAGTGGCAACATCTCAGCTCACTGCATCCTCCACCTCCC